ACCCTCAAACAAAATTATTCAGCAAAACTTCAACAGGGCCCCAGTATCCTCTTCCAGGTGCTGCCACTACTGCTGTCCCCCGTTTCAGCTAAACCAGCAACAGTAGCAGCAAAGAACCAAGGAAAATCCCCGGGGCTGAGAGGAAGAGGCAATATTTTGTCTGAGCAGTCAAAAGAGGATTCTGGCACAGGACGTGAAAAAGGTTTGCCAAAAGTACCAGGAAATACCAGCTATCAGGAAAAGTGACATTTCTCAAAGGTCCTGTATCAAGACCACTTTTCAAGTTAAAACCTTATTTTTAATTTTAAGAAATATCACATAGACAGTTTTCTTCTATGTTATATTCAGATGATATATGTGATGCAGGAAAAAATTTTTAATGATTAAGAATAAAAATTCGCATTTCGTTTTAATTAATATTTTACTCTGTTTTCACAAAGTGTTTTAATGAACACAGATAATTCTCAAAAGAAATGCAAGAATTTAAAATAGTGTCTGTTTTTGCAGCCAAGTTATGTCCAGTTTATACCAAAAGTTTTTTATATGTCCATTTATAATACAATATAATAAAACCCACCCAGGATTCTAATGCTTGAAATCATAGTCCGTAATGGTTTATAAGAAAGATCTTAATCTAGCCATCAAACACGTATCAAATTCTTTATATGAAGCCTTTTAACATATCTCATTACTTGTTTTTTTGAAAACAAGATTTCAATATCAGTGGCTAGTCGATAAAATTACGATTTAGCTTCAAACAATCTAAATTAGTCATCAGTCATCCCAACCCTAAATCTGTTTTTATTACTTTTACTGCCACTAGATGTCCCCATTCTCCACACAATTACAATATGAAAATTTATTTAGAAACAGTTAAAATAAAACACAGTTGAATACAAGCCATGTAAATTCTAAATCAATGGTTAAAAATCTCACTGAATTCACATTCGGCAGCAGTTGTTGTGAAATAGATTATTGGCTTCAGTATAGTTTGAATGGACTCCACAAAGACAGTCACAACAGCTACATACAAACTGAATACCTAACGTGACTGACAGAAGTTCATCAGGTTTTTCTTTTTAAAAGTTTCAGTGCATGGTTAAAACACTGAAATGTGGGGAATCTCTGTTATTCAGTAACATGAATTCTATTATTTGAGCATGTGAAAACTCTGTAGGATAAAACCTTTGAATGCTTAGACTCCTTTAAAATCTAGGATATCTTTATGGGTAGCCTAATTAATTGGCTTATCTATTAAACATTAATATGAGCGTATACAGATAGGCAAACACATATTGTCCAACTGTCAAGTTTCCTCTCATCTTTTCTTTTTAGGACTTTGGGTTTCACAATAAAACAGTTATAAGGATTCTCATCGCCAGGAGTGAGATTGACTTGATGAATATACGACAGCGATACAAAGAGAGATATGGGAAATCACTCTTTCATGACATTAAAGTAAGTTTTTACACACTTTTCCATATATTCAGCACTGGCACCACACAGACTGTGCCAAGCCCTACCGGAAAAACAGAGAGGGTTAATTTCCATTCAATCACTTGGTTTAGAAAAAAAGGCAATATATAAAAACAATAGCATATCTTTTCAGTGCCTCAGGCTGACTTCAGTAAGTGAGCAGTGAATTCCCAACTCACTCTCATTCTATGCGATTTTGCCCCTCCCCAATAGCAAGAGGAGGATATAAACAGGGTAGGACAGTGTATGCTGAGGAATAGTTTGCATTAATAGTTTCTACTCTAATTGATACCATCTTCTTTCACACTGTCCTGCAAGTTTAGACTGATACCACTTCCATGCAAAACTGAGATAAAAATCTGATTTTATTCTTGTGCTTAGGTAGTATCAACCTTCAGAAAAACTATTCCTCTTCTACTCTTGCTCTGTATCTTAAAACAAAACTCTGACACTGTTTGATTGTACAAAAATGACTCTTGCTATGACACTTTATCTTTTTTACGTTGCTATAATCCAACCGTAAGATGTGCAGTAACTGTAAGAAATTGCTTATGATTTTTTTGGTATTGAACTTGACAAGTATTAAGCAGGTTTGATCCAACCTTTCAAAGGTAGATTGTTTCTAGGTGCCCAAGCAACCAAAGCCCAAGGTATGTGAAATTAAAAAAACCTTGGCCTAGAATCCTTATGAACACTGTAATATTTTACAAAACCTTACAACATCAGTCTAGCCCTTGTCACACACCAAGAGAAGAAAAATTAAGAAAACATATAGTCACAGAAATGTTGATTTTTCTTCTTGCAGCATTTTGCTTCAGGGCATTATGAGAGTGCTTTACTTGCTATCTGTGCTGGTGATGCTGAAGATTATTAAGGAAGAAGAAGATGAACTTTGAAGGCTGTATAAATCTATTTTAAATAGAAATTGAAGTAATACACAATACATTAACTGTAAGAGATCCCTATTCTACATGAATTCATTCGTGAAGCGTTCCATATATTTTTGCTTAGGGACATGGTTTAGTGGGCATGGTGGTGTTGGGTTGACGGTTGGACTTGATGACCTTGGAGGTCTCTTCCAACCTTAATGATTCTACATAAAAGAACAGAAAAATCAGTGCTATACATTTGCTAATATTAAATCTTTCTTGAAACAGGAAAAAATGTTGGCAGGAACATGGTTTTATCCCTAGTTCTAGTTAATATTTTGTTTCTATGGTTAATATAAATTAATGAAGCAAGCAGTAAATTAAATCCATGTAAGCATATGTTTATCATTTAGTCTCGCAACATCCCAAACATTAGACAATAGGCTCTGGAAGAACCTATTCACTTCCACACTGGAAAGAAAAAACATTTTGCTTTATTTACTTTTAGCAGCATGATTTCTTCCTTTAAGTAATTTTTTTCTTTTCTTTCCCACTTCTTATACCTCATATTTTTATGCTCTTGAACATTATTGTTTTACTTACTATCAAAGTAAGCATCTGCCCCAGACTATTATCACTCACTCACCAAAGAATGCTTTTGTATTCTCTTTCATTTATCCCACATACTTAATGGCATTTCCCTTTTTCGGCCTGAAACAAAAGAAAAAATTAGAATCACGTATCCCAAACCATTCTTTAGTGCCATGCACTGGAAACCCCTGGAAGACAAAGCATTACATAGCTTTGAGTGGAGAAGTTCCAGAGGATTAAACTCTGAAATTCCATTTGCGCCTCTATCATTTTAATCATTAATTGAATATTGACCTTCAGGGCACTGAGATATTTCCAGGATGCCCCCGATGGTGTAATTCAGGAGCTGACTAGTAGTAGGTAACACTGCACCTCCAAATGAGGCTGAAGGATGCAGCACTCCTCAGAATACCAGCAAACGCAGCCTGACAACATCTGGTGACAACAACTCGTACCACAACGAGGAAAGGCGGCAGAGCCTGGCCTCGAGTCCTCGTCCCACAGGAAAATGTGACACTGCTTTTAAATACCCTGAGCCTATTCAGTGCAGCCTATCGACGAGACTTTCCAGCCTGTGTGTTTGTACCTTCTGTCAGTCTCTTATGTAAACAGACATAAGTAAGGGAAAATGTGGTAATATTCACTAAAATAACTGCCCTTTGTTTTTCTCCTGCAGCTACAATGTTCCCAACTTGACACAGAGATTAGATTTTTTTAAAATAGGTACCTTCTGCAACTATAGCTCAGTACGACTCAATAAAGTACTACTATAAAAACCTTTGCTTTTGTGCTGTTTGCACCTGTCCCTTCCCTCAGTCTGTGAAAATGTTATTCTCAGTGTATCTTGCTTTTTTGCAAATACTGACTTTACGTTACAGATCTATTGGTTTACAATAAACGTAAAATTTCAGTTGAGTCCCTCGAGTTTGACATATTTCAAAATATTTCAGGTGGATAACACAATTATTAAGCCAGAACTTTGGAAGGAACGGCTCTGAGAGGAAAAATAAACTAAGAACAAAAATTAGAATGAGATGAGCACTATCCCAATTTGTCAGCATTAATAAAATCCTAACCTTAAGGTTATGTTATGATTTTGCAACTGCAGTTAGAAGTAGCTAACAACAGCCGTACCTCGGCACTGTGGAGTTATTTCGCTTTAACTCTGCGTACTTGCAGGTAGGACTAAGGACACCGCTCCCAACTGCAAACACCTTGTTCACGCGGCGCTTCCCGCAGACCGGGGTCCCGAGGCCCGCCCGGCCCTGAGCCGGGCCCCCCTCGCAACACGCAGAGCGCGAACCCCCCAGGGCGCCCG